GGGAGTAGGAGCACGGTGAAAATCCTGGGCGTTGGTGTCAAAGTCAAATAAATGGCTTTGGGGCTAATTTAAAGACAAGATAGTGGAAGTATGGCATAATTAGGACCAGCTGCTATCTGATCAGTGTTTAAATAAGACCAAAGTTGCCAGAAGGTCTTTGTGTAGCACTGACGGGAGAATGAGTGAGCTTATATGGATGAGAGGAGGAGGAGACAAGTGATCCCGATAGTAAATGGACGAATATATGTGCGATGTTCCACTGCAGAACAACGGGCACTTGATGAACACTGATCTTGTGGACAGTTCAATGCTACCGTAACACTTGGCCAATACAAGCATATAAACAATAATTTGAGTGCTCTTAGAGAAACAAAAACCTTATACTGCACAAAAATACGTACTACAAAGTAAGTTTAATTGAATCCTATGCACCTGTGTTGTATAAATCTCAGTTAACTTTTAACACTTTACTGTTAGGTGAAAAAGGCAGGGTGTTAAACTTCCTCACAATATTTACTTAACATTTGATCCTGCTTTAATTGAAAACAAAGGTTGTGGCAAGTAACTTAAGTGGAAATGTATGCCAATTAAGTTTGTTACACACAGCTCACTTCCATACGTGCTGCACTTCTGCATAACCAAAAGGAAATTCCATTGCTTATAGTCTATAAATTGTGTAGAGTTGTGATCATTTCCATTTCAAAATAATCACGACTTTATCACTAATAACTTTAGATCACAAAACATTCAAAATGATGTCCAAATTACCATGTCTTTCCCCTATTAGAATGATGTAAACCCATTAATTCAAGGCACAATTGTGCCAGTTAAACTCTGCTCTACTCCGCCGGGGTCGTCGTCTCTGGACAATTGAGAGCAAACACAACATCCTGCACCCTGTTTGGCACTAGTGAAGACTTATGTCCACAGTTGGAGAAATGTGGGTATGATGGCTTTGCTTTAGATGACCCAGCTGTTCTTAGTGCTGTTATAGCCATCCTCTCAGTGTAAAAAAAAAAAATGGGATAAAGGTCACCTGCTGCAGTCAACAATAAAACTCCATTCTGGATGCAAAGCACACCAGGAAGCACATATTACCTAAATGCAAATGAACACCAGCCAAGAATGTGCTGCTGTTTCTACAATGTATAATTATGTCTCATTACATGGATGACTTACATACACTGTAATTGTATCTTAACATACGAGTGAGAATTACAAATCCAAACAATCTTGTGGTTTGGGTAAAAGAAGAATCTGAACAACCCCAGGTGCGACTGAAAAACTAAAGGGGCTAACAATTTGATTGTGGAATATGGATACACTATAATATAATGTGGACACTTTTGAATCATTCCAGGTCATCATTGACTCTTATTGATCTGAGCCTTGAAACAACTTATGAGGGGATATAAAGTTCATGTGATCTTCCATTTAAACTCCAACACGTGAATGGATCCAGGTGTTAGAGAGATTATCCCACCTACACACAGAGCTGGGCTTGATGGATATCCACAGATACTCACATACACAAACCCAAAGACCCTACCTCCCATATGTTCATATGCATTTAAGAGGTTTCAATGGCCTCAATGACCCGGAGAGACAGTCAAGGGATGTTTGAAGAGAAAAAAAGGAAGGGACTGGCAGAGCTACAGAGAGGCTGGAAGGCTATGGAGAATTGCAGAGGGTGAGAAGGATGTTTAAGAGAAATAGAAGTGTTGAGTGACCCAGAAGACCAAACAACTGATGGGTTTTCCTGTAACATGGAGTGTTTTAGTGCAGTGAGGTGAACTTACAGCTTCCTGTAGCAGCTGCTCCAATGAATAGATTCTTGGGCGGTTTCCTCTTTCACCGTAGATAACAATGCTGAAGCTAGAGGAAAAAAGCACAGCAGAAAGAGAAAAATATATTTTCAGATGCTTGTATTATGCTTGCCTGGCTCCCATGTCATGTGTTACTCCCACTCTGCTGTTGTTAAAGCATATTTTTGCTGCCTGAGCTGGAGGTGCCGTATTGATACTCAGAGCGTAGGAATGGGACGATGTAGGATTTGTAAGGGAAGGAAGTGCTAAAGTCCTCTTTTTTTTTGTGATCCCAAAGATGCCTACCCCAATACACCATGGTTTCATGCATGGTTTCTTTTGTCGTGTGTTGATGTCTGGAAGGATGTGCTAGCTTCAAGGGTAATTCATCAATTTCCCACCACCTCTAGCCATGTCTCAGCTTTCACATAGAAATGCCACTTTGTGCAAGGTTTAGCTCATGTGCAGAATGAACACTGACACAAAGGTGTAAACATGTCACTGTAATTCGAAAGACTGAAGTGATCTACGAGCCCTTTCACATCTACGTTGTTTGGTCCGATCCAAATGTGAAACGGCCTTATATCTGTTAATTGTATCCTCAGTTTGATTTCAACCTTAACAACCTTGATAAACAAAAGACTCTGATGAAGGTATTCAAATAAATGACATATGTGTATTAAAAAACACCCTAACAGATCACTTGAACCACTGCATGTGAGCTTACATGTCCGGTAGTTCCAGTGTGTGGACTCTGGCAGCGTATAGAAGCTCATCGTCCTTGGAGATCAGCACCTTAAGTCCATCGGTTAAGAGTTCTTTGGTCAGGACACAGTTTGGAACTGCATAAGGAAAAAGCAAACATCACATTTAATATTTCTCAACATCACTGAAACTATCTGCTGCTTGAAACACTGTTACAAGATATCCGGTGTTATCTCTGACCTTCAGGGATTTTGTTGCCGTACGAGCGGCTGTTGTCCTCCTCTTCTTCCGAGAAGCTGCTGCCATCCATCTGAAAGCCCTCATCCGCCGCAAAGCTCTCCAGCAGTCGACTCACTGCTCGTCCCTTTGGCTGTGAAACACACCAGAAGGAACGTACAGAAGAATAAATGAATGCAGGAATGGATAAGAAAATAAACGTGGAGATGGAAAGTGTGATAGAAGAAAGAAGAAATTGTTTAGCATGCTACTCAAAGTAGCAATTAACTGCAGGGGACTTCACAGTGCCTGTTCTATCTCCTATCAGTAGCCATTTCTTCACTCCCATCACAGCAGAAGGTGTGAGCCACCCCCTTCCCACATCTTCTCTCCCATCCTCTCCTCCCCTAAGATTACTCAGCAGGAGGTTGAGCTATGTGCAATGTGCTAAGTACTTTTAATAGTTCTACAGTAACTGTCCTCAGGGTGAGAAATCTAGGACAGTAAGACATTACCAGAATTCTTAATAGAATATATGAAGACATTTTTTGGCGGTTTCCTGAGTGCTTGATTGAGTGCTTTTTATATTCACTGCGTTCACTAGTACCTGCTGGTCCTTGTTCCTTCGTCCCCTGCTGCCTTCCTCACTCTGTGAAGATGGGCCGCCGACTGACCAGCAACTTCTCCTCTGTTGAAGATGACATACGGATGTAAAAGATGAGTGGTGAGAGCGTGACAAAGCTTCATGAGCACTCTGGTTTTGGTCCATTTGTGCACAAACATGATCAAAAAAAGACTATGTGCAGAATAGTTTGCACAATTCAAGTCTTTTGAAGGTATGAATTATTCGTTTGAGGGAACGTGTTAATGATATAAATTATTTATATGTCAAAATAATTTCTGCTCACCTTATTGATTGCTCCTCTCAACATGGTGCTCTTGCGGGTCGCCCTCTTTAGCCTCTCGCTGGTGGTCGGGAAGGTGGCCAGTCCCATGCTCCTCCGGTAGCGGTTGCCTCTGGTCCCAAGACTGCCCCACCGAGGCTCCTTAGACCTGGGTCCACATGGCCTTCTAACCCCTTCGGACCGGTGATCGTCACGGCGGTTTTTGACTGCAGTGGCCAGGCCCAGCCTGCAGGGGGGCTTCTTCCTTACTTTGACCTCCCCTTCGGCTCCAGATAGACTCTGGGAGCCTGTGGAGTTCAGTTCAAGAAACAGATTTAGACCAAGCTAACAAGCCAGAAGGAGAAACACAAAACAGATGCTTCCCATGAAGATGTGGGGCAGCTTTGTTGACTTATAAAGCAGTTTCAAAGGACCGTCTTACCATAAAGCTCTTGTCTCTGTTTTTTGTTCCTGGCTTTCTGGTTAGCCTCCAGTTTTACAACAGATGAGGGACTCGGACCGATCACGGAGGAGCTAGAAGTGACTTCTCTGGGGGGTTGGGCTCGGTAGTCTCGACCTTCATCAGTATCATAACTGCCTTCTTCTTCTTCCTCTTCTAATAGGAAAAGCAAATAAGTCATTACCAGCCAGTGAAGTTGTTTAACGTACTACTTACCCTCAATCAAAATTCACAGGCACGTCATTAGCGTTTAAGTAAATTGTTTAACTGTTCATAGAAATTATGTATCAGGTGCTTTGCCTCGGTGGTATTTCCTGGTGTGAACCCACATGCTACGGAGCTAATGTGCAAGGGAGTGTAGGAGGGAGTTTGTGTGTGTGTTTGTCACTGCACTTTCTCAAGCAGCTCTTTGACCCAGTCTGCTATAGTCTCCCGGGCTGTCAAACCCTCTCACAGGCAAGTGTCCACAGCTGTGGCTGCACATCTAGCCCAGACCAGCCAACAAGGCCGATCACTGAGGTGTCGACTGTCCATCCATCAACACCCATTTACTCAGGTTGGACTGTCTTTAAATAACAAATTAACAAGAAGGTACACTGGACTTAAGAGGGTACTAGATTCAATGTGTTAGTGGTATTACCAGAAAGTCAAACGTTGTTTCTTCATTTTTAACTTAAAACAGGTCAAATGTGCTTGATGCACTGCAGCCCTTACTCATTTGTTTTCTGTAGCATTCTATGTTTAGGGTCAATCACACCAGGGTCTTGCTTACAGTTAGGAGGACACTGTTGATTACTACTGAGCCATATTGGGTTGCTGTGACTAGTTCCATGACCCATCACGATGTAAGTCTCATAGCCAGCTCTCTGTAGTCACTGACTCACCTTGATCAGAAGAGCCACTCTCTACGGGGGAGCTCTCTCCCTCCTCCATTGCGTCATGTCTCTGGCCACAGTGATCTCTCGCTCTGGGCTGGCTCAGACGGGACAAGCCCTGTGTCGGGGTAGAGGATCCCTTTTTACATCCATGGCGCACAAGTCCAGTCCAGCTCTCTTGGGGGCCACTGTCCACACTGGCTGCTGAGAAAGTTTGCAAAACCGATCACAAATCTAGGTTAAGAATAGTATTTTAGGGATTAAACAGTGTGAAAGTGAAAACTAGGGATTTTTAATTTTAATTTTTTTAATTAAAAAAATTAAAATTAAAAATACTACCAATGCTGATATCAGGCCAATACAAATTAAAATAGCTGGAAAAGTTAAGAAAGCAATGTTTAAGTCAAGCCTGATGTTGCCTCACACATAAAAGAATGATCCCAGTCACTTCCACACAGTGAGGCATACCGCTTAATGATTAAACACGGGTATTGGATTCAGTACTTGGTATCGCCCGATACCCAAAGTCCAGGTATCGTTATCGGGGCTGAAAATGTCGGATCACCCCTAGTGAAAAAACAGCACATTGTGCTAAATAAAACACAAGGCACAATCAATGCTGTGATTGCCATTCTCTACCTGTGTCACTTTGTCCCCCAGACTCTCGCCTGGACTCGGCTTTGCTTGGGCCCTGGCTTCTGTATCCATGCTTGGGGTTGGAGTTGCAGGGCGAAACCTCCTTGTCCCTGGAGCCCGTCCCTGAGAGAATCTTTTTACACTGGGCTTTTTGTTTGAGCTGAGTCACATCACTGGCCAGCTTTGAGCTGAGCATGCTGTGAAGACTGCTTTTTCTGCAGCCCTGTGCTTTTATCTGCTGCAACAGAGAGAGATGAGAGAGCCAGTTACACTCCCGGTCACAGCAGCCGCAAAAGCATCAGAACGTCAGAGGGAGAGGGCTCTCGTTTGCTCACTCACAGAGAAGAAAAAGGAACAGTAGAAGCCCCAATGAAAAAGATATTAATATGGAGAGCAGCGGATTTGACTCCTGAGGTAGCACCTAATTAGAAATAGTGTGCAACAAAGGAATATATCAAACGCAAAGAAACAAAGAGTGGCCTCTTTCATTTCTAGATGCATAGAGGACAAAAGGGAGGAGGACAAGGGGACCCTGACCTGTGTGCTGCTGAGCCGCTCAAAGCCTCGACTGGACAGCCTCTTCTTCCTTCTCTGGCTGTCACCGCCCCCTCCTAGGTCCTCAGGCGACAGTGCAAGCCCCGCCCCCATCGACCTGCCAGTCAAAACAAGGGAGAGGCATTCATTAGAGAAGAATGGCGGTGGTTTGAAAGAAAAAAAGGGGGGGGGGGGTAGGACATCACAGGGGAAAACAGAGTTGAGTCACCTCTCTGTGGGATCTAATAAGTCTCCTTTCTATGTCTGATGAACATAATGATAAAAAAGGACACGGAGAGCCCAGTGTCTGAACCACACACTTGAAAAATTGGGATCTAACAAGGAACCTGGGATTGTTTGAGGGCAGTGTGGCATAAGAAGCCTTAACGCTTTATCTAGGGAGTGTCTGTGCCGCATATGAAGCACTTCATAGCTTTGAAAGATACACTGAATGGTTGGAAGGCATTGCATTTGTATGCTGCTCTATTGTTCTCAGTGAATATCATAGCTCTCCAGTTGCATTTTCATATCACTGAGGCACACTCTTTCCCCTACACAGAGCAGCATCACAGGCCAACCACTCCAAATGCCCTTGAATTTCCCTCTGGAAGTCTGCCCACAGACCACACCGACGTGAACCAGGCCGTGCTCAAACAAAAGATTAACTTCCCCTCTCCTAGTGTGCGTGCAGCCTAGGAAATCAGTCTCATTTACAGAGTAAGCGTGGTTTAAATGTGAAGTAGATAAATAAGGCACATTCAGAGTGTCATGTTAGTTCTTTGTTGGCATATGTTTACGATCAAATGTGCGTGCTTCTTTTTTTTTTGTTTGCATGTTAGGCCTCGATTGTGTGTAAATCTCGTTCATTTGTAACAGGATGAAGGCGATTGTCGGGCAGTGGGACTGTCTGCCCACTGACTGACAGGAGAGTGACAGAGGTGGCAGTGAAGTGTGAGTTGTCCCTCTGAGGCAGATCCCGCCACGGCTTGCCTTCCGCTGCTGACAAACACAATATGACAGAGTCCCTCCCCTCGTTGGGGGGCTGGTGGGGCTGAGCGTACAGTGACTAATTAACCAAAATTGATTAGCAGGGTTTGCTGGCCAGCAGCAACCCTCTCCAGCCCCCCCCCCCCCCCCCCCCAATCAAAGCAGCACCACAAAGGACCCCAGCGCTTTACCCACAGGAATAACAGAGGCACACGCAAAAACAAACAATGCCTGCATAAATGCTCATAAGCACAACTGCATCCATACCTAATTGCTCAGATGCATAGAATGCAGGCAGGGAGGCTCGGATTTATCGCCCACTAAAACACTACCACACACACTCCCTGTGGTTCAAGCGAAATAAGGAAAGGAAGGAGATACTAAAAGGCTGGGCTGTTACCCACTGACCCACTGCCCTCCATCATAGCACCCTAGCGTCAGCATCTTGTAGTGGCATGAGTGGCAGGTGCAGTACATGCTTTTACATAACCCTGTCATGTAACGCAACATGGGGCTAATCAGTCCCCAGTCTGCCCGTTCCTTGTTCAGATGTGTCATGTCATTCTCTGCTGCATTGTACAACATGCACACACACCCGCAGAAACAAAGGGGTGTACACCTGGCTGCCTTGAGGAAAGGTACTCGAGCTGAGGCTCAAATTTGAACAGAATAGAGCTGTGGTTGCCAAACATGTTCTGCATGTCCCCTCTTTGGTCGCTGCTGAACCATGCATCCTATATTTTGTCACGTCGCAACACCCCTTTTATAACCCCGCGCCCCCCAGTTTGGGAACCACTGGAATAGAGAGACAGACTGCGGTTTACTGTACCGTAGCCTGCAGAAGACCCCATAACCCCCAATGTCGGAGCCCACCCTACCCTCACTCCAGTGCACTTCGCTGCAGGGCCCCGGCCCGTTACCCTTTCATTTGGGTGTCATTGTCACCCAGCATCAGCGTCCCCACTCCGATCAGTGCTGGCCTGGCGAGGGGGCAGGGGCACATGGGTGGAAGGAGAGTAGAGGTGACACCGCAGAGGGGCAGCTGGGAACACCGTGGACTGTTGCCCAGAAACCACAGTGCGAAAAGGAGGGAGAAGAGAAGACGGAGCGAGGGAGAATGCTGCGAGGTGACATTTAGTGCTCTAAGCCCTTCCAAACCCTGATGACAAGGCTAATTGAAGCCTGACAGGAAACCTTTATCCCCTAGACCCTCATGATTTATCAGTTCCCCCACCTCCACCAAACTGCCCAGGCACCCCTGTTTTGACAAAAGATGACACTTGCACTTGTTAAAATGTCATCAACACATTTGGAGATAAAGTAAGGTCCTTGTTTCTTGAATATCCTCCAATCTGTATCCTCGATTATCTGTCTCCCTCTCTAGTTTCATTCCCTGAGTGCCTGGACTGTCTGACCATCATGTTATCCTTTGGACCCCCGGTGACCCCGTGGGGCTGTAATGGCAGTGCTGTGTCACATCCCTCCTGCTGGGACAGATTACAGGAGAATTCACAGTACTCTAATTACATCCTCTGCCTGTCATCCACCCCAGCAGCCAGCTCCCCCCGAACCCAGCATAGCTAAGCTCAACATGCACTACAGTAATGCCACTGAGATTTAAGATTAGCGGTGTTGAAGCCTAATAACACCTGTGAGCAGGTTTTTTAGGTATGTTTAGTCCACATAAATATTCTGTACAAGCAGACCTTCACACAACTGACACTTATTATTCCGTTATACAATTAATGCCAGTGTTGATTAGATTTGAAAGGGTTCAAGTAGACTTCCTTGAATGGTTTAGCTGTGTGTTCTCCCATTTCCTGTTCATGCCAATGAGAGGACATCCCTATATGTCAGTGATACAAAAGGGCTTATCAGGCAAGACTGGACTATAGCCAGCCAGCGTAGATGGGCTGAGTGATACTCACTTGACTTTTCTTTGGCCCTCAGATGAGGACACTGGACCTGTGGTGAGGGTGGGTTTCCGCTTCCTTGGCCGCCCCGGTCCTCGTCGAGCTGGGCTGCGAGGAGTTTCCTCCTTCCTGCTCGCACACGCAGATGCAGACAAAAAGAGAGAGGGGAAGTCTGAGATTCTGCACATATCTGAACTCAAAAGTTTGTAGCAGCAAAGAATACAGAAAGGAACCCTCTGAAAACTAGAAGCAATTGTGTTTAAATTGATATTACTTTTGAAATCTCTGAATGCCAAAAAGGGGATATGAGCTTAAGGGAAAGGAGGATAAAGTCACACTCACTGATGATCGTGCTTCCTCTGAAGTTTGGCCATCTCCTTTTGCTTCTCTTTGTAGCGACGCTGTAGCTCAGCCAACTTCACACGCATTGCAAGCTCGGGACCGTCCATGGTCTCCATGCTACCTTTTGCCGGGCACACCTGAGGTATCATTGGTGGTTATTTTTAATATTATTAACATCCTCAAAAAAAGCAAGAAAAACCCATTCTTCAGTAGATTATCTATTCATTTATTTAAATTTAAACAAGATTAAAACCCTATATGAACTTTGTGTTTTGAGGCAATAACACTGCAGTCTTACCGGTTCATTGCGAGGTGTCCAACTGCATTTCCTACGTAAATTGAGGATCCTGCGAGCTGGGAAGTGTCGCCCTGAACCCGTACTGCTGCCCTCCTGGGAGCCCATCTCCAGAGCACGGGCTGTGGCCAGGGTAGCAAGGCTCTGGAGGTCAAACATCAGAAACTCCTCTTCTGTTAAGGGAACAGAAGAATTGTTTGGTTCACGTTGGGTCCATCCATGCTTGATTTAAAAGACACTACAATTGAACTAGTTGTCAATAGAAACATGTCAAAGTAAACAACAACGGTTTTGTTCATGTGAGCTTATTACTAAACTTGCATGTTTGGCTTATTATTTCAGAAGCATCTTGTGATATAGCGAATAGTGAGGAAGAAATAAATGTAAGAAATTGGACACATTAAACCAGTATGAGGACGCAGCAGCATATCGTTTCAGAGGTCATATCAATGTGGACTCACCAGATGCTGCTATATTAGTGGCCATCTGGGCCAAACTCTTCATATATAGCCCTACCTGCCTGTGGCACTGAACGGACTCGCTGCCCTTTGAGCTAAAGGCTGAATATCAGGGGTTGCAGTTTAGTCACGGAGAAAAAAACATGCAATTTTGTTTACAAACCAACACTATCTTACGTCTTTACATGTATAAATAAAAAAAAATACAGATTCTTCACACTTCTTTTAGAACTTGTTTTGGTGAAGACCATTGTTGTGACTCGACATGTGCCACTTCCTTGCGCTGTCAACAATATCGCATCACAAAGAGAACATCATTGCCTCTAGAATCAGTTGATGATACCCTTTTTATAGAAGCCTCTTTTGGGAGCATTTAAATGCATTAGGATGCTGTGGTAAACACAAAACATCCTTTTGCATGAATAAAAAATAAATACATTTTTTTAAAAAAACGTGGCACTTTGAAAAACAAGGAAGCTTTTAAAGGCACTTTAAAACAATGGGGTCTAATTAGCCAGGCAATGCTCCAGGGTGCTGAAAACATTGACTGCTTTTGTGATTACACACCAACTTTCAGCAACGTGTGTGGGAGAGCGAGGGAAGCCAATTGGTATGTCTCTTTTTTCCCTTTTTGTTAAAATGCGTGTTTTTATGTGTGTGCGCGCGTTTGTGCACACGTGTGGATCAAACGGCGGTGGGATGGAGAGACAGAGAGACAGCTCCCTGAGGAAAGCTGGAAGGGAAAGAGAGGGAGTGAGAAAGGGAGGTGTACACCCCTCACTAGTAGTTCAGCCCTGTCCTCCTGCTTCTTCTCCCTCTCTTGAGGCCTTTGCATCGTTAGAACAGCCTTTTAGAAAGTAAAAGTGCCTTTAACACACCAAAGAAGAGAAACGGCAAGCAGGCATGCAGACAGCCTCTCTGGGGACGTGTTAGAATCCACCAGAGGCTCTCGAGACCAGTAGGAAGAGAGGAGTATCTGGGAGGGAACGCAGAGTGACGAAGGCTAGGCCTGAGGAGGGGGTGGGAGTTTGTCTCAGTGGACAGAGAGGAGATAGAGGGTAAACTACGAGAGAGTTTATGAATGTGTTTCTGTGTGCATGTACGAGTAAGGGAAGGCCCACTGTCCCTCACCCTGGCTTTTCCCACAGGTGTGCTTTTGCTGCTGCAGCTCCAGATCTGCCAGCTCACTCAGAAGCTCCATGCCCTGGTAGGGGTTGGGCTGTGACGGGGCAACTGATGGGGTGCCAAGGGGGAACAAGGGAAATGGAGGTACGTCTGTGCAGAAGGCAGCAGCAATCAGCAGCTCCAGACTCCAGTAGCAGGGCACGAGAGGTTTGTGGGGCAATGCAACAGTTGCCTGGTTTGGGCTAGGGGCAGAAGTTGAGGCAGGGGAAAGACACACAAAATCCACTGAGGCGTCATCAGGGTTCATCTCATTCTTGTGCTGCTGCTCGCTGTCCTTTGCTTCCCCAAGGGACGGGGGCTGAGGCTCAGGAGCTTCAGGGGAAGAAGGGTCAAGCTCGATGATGGTGGGCAGCTCTGGCTCCTGCTCAGGCATGTTGACCTTTTGAGGAAACTCCAACTGGCTATCAACCGCCTCATCATCCGCTTCCTCCTCCAAGGTGATGACAGCTTCTGGCCTTTCAAGCTCCTCTGTTGAAAGGGGAACTGGACAGGAAGCAGCCTCGCACACCGGGCTCTTAGCAGGGGGGCAAACCATCACCTCTTCCTCAGCGGGCCCCTGCTCCTCCACCTCCCTCTCTCCAAGCACATAGTTGGCTGCTGTCACCGCTGCTACCTCCACCTCTTCCCTTTCTTCCACCACTGTTTCCTCCTCTTCCTTCTCTACTTCCTCGGATGGGAGTGGCTCTGGGAGTGGCCTGACCACCGCTTGGCAGTCTAGCTCCTCCCCCAGGCCGGAGAGAGACTGAGGAGCATGCTCAGCAGGCTCCACTTGGACTGCTTCCAGGTCAGCTGGCTCAGCCAGTCGAACATCATGGGGGGAGGGCCCGCTCCTGTAGCCCATGGCAATGGCAGGGTAGGTGTATCCAGGAGGCAAGTCTATAGAGAGAAAGAAATATAGATAATAAAATCATTAATTGTCAATACTGACTTAACAATTCTGATGAAACCCTTCCACAAAATGATCTCATAATGACATAATTTTGGATGAAATACAACAGAAAGCACAATTTTATGCAAATCTAAAGTCCTTCCATATCAGGCCCATTCTAAACGTAAGTCTGTTGCTACCTTTGAGTTCACAAGTGATTAAAACCAGCAAAAGGAACTGCACTCTGCCTTGATCTTTCAGCAGTGGGAAGGATAGAGGGCCGCGTGCAAACTTGTGTGTGTATTATTTGAAGTGGGCCAGGCTTTGGTTTATCAGAGCACCTGACACAATTCCTCTGGCGTGCGGCGGCCGTTAGCCAGACATTAATGATGATGAAGCGAGTGCGGGGCCTGTGGGGGTGGAGGAGAGGCGAGGCCTGCTATTGAGGTGTTTCTCAGTCATTACCCAAGTAACGGTAGTGGAAAGCCCCAGCTCAGCCGGCAGCCATTTTCTGCAGCCTTGAGCTGTTCAGTCAATCAGGGGCTTGCCAACAGAGCCACCCACACATATTAGCACAACACCAGCAGACAAAAAGGATCATTTACAACAGTGGCTATTCCAATTACCACCGGATATAATGTTCAAGGTGACACGAGAATTCACTGTCCCTTTTCTCTTGCTGTGTCAGAGATATTTGGCTTAACATCTGGAACTAGCGGCATGTTAACAGGATTTCATTTGATGTTATCAATGTAGCTCATACTGAAGCCATTGCACACAATGCAACAAAGGCAGCTGTAAAACCTTTTTTCTCATGCTTACCAGGCTCCAGAGACTGTGGGTAATCCTGGGGGGGCTGTCCCTCTCCTCGCTTGTCCTGGGATTCGGCCCCCTTGAGCATCTGAGGTGGAGCAGGGCTGATGGCAGGTGAGTGAGGGGCTGCTGCGGCAGGGCTGGGAGCAGGGCAGGGTGTAGAAGGAGTGCTCTTGGGATGTGGTCGTAGAGACGGGGACTGGCAACAAGGGGACAAGTGAGCGGCGCAGGCCCCAGGCGAAGAGGTGTTCCTCTGAGATGGGTTGTAAGAGTAGGGCTTGGCAGGTTTAGATGTTCTTGGTTCCGAAATGAGTTCCTCTAGTTCAACAGAGGGCTCATCCGGCCTCTTCTGCATCTGTGGTAATAAAATTAAGTTATTTTCATTTCTACATTTACAGAAGGGCCAAAATCTGGGAGATCTCAAGCATGTGATTTTCCCACATTAGCAACGTAATGGCCAATTACAATAAAAAGCTACTTGCTCCGCAGCCTATATTCAGTGATTTACTCCATCCCTGTGAGAAAGTCAGCATATCCCAGAAAAATATTAGGAGAGTTAAAAATAGTCAAGTGAGAAAAGCTGACTCACTCACTGTGCTTTTTCACTTTTGTATGTGTAGATAGCTAGCTACCCAGCTAGAGGGATGGATGGATGGATAGATAGATCTAATTCAATCAGACCGTTCTCAAAATCTTAATGTTTCTTGCGTAATTTGAGTTGTATTCACCTGTGAATTGTGAGTGGCATGATGTTGCATGTCCATGCCGTGCACAGCTCTGTGCTGCTGCTGCTGGGTTTGAGACTGTGGTTGCTGCGACTGGTGGCTCTGGTGCTGATGTTGATGCTGATGTTGGAGCTGCTGGTGCTGCTGGAGAGCGTACAGCTCCTGTTGCCGTAGAAACTGGGATCGGGAGTACACAGCAGGATGCTGCATGTGGGAGGGTGGGCCCCGGGCACCATACACAGGGGGCCACAGCCCTGGCTGCTCCATCACATCTAATGAGAAAAAGGAGGATGAATGTGACGGAGGGGGCTACCTTAGAACAAAAATAAATGCACGCACATACACACTTAAGCTACCTTTTCCGTCAACACTATGCGCAGCACGCTAGAATACAACATCGTGTTATCTCCATATCCTCATGCATCCATTATCTGCATCCCACACACGCATTTCAAAACAGAGAAACCATTATGGATCATTTAAATATCATTGTATTCACATTTTATAGCAACGACATAGGCAAATGTCTTTAGAAATACGATTTTTGACTTCACAGAACAACATCTTCCCAGGCAGCAGCAATCCCACACTCTCCCCTGAAACAGAAAGCTGTCTCTTAAGAACTGCCTTGAGAATTAGCTGGAATGTTGGAGGGCGGGGGAAAAGTCATGTCAATGATGAAATGCGAACAGATAATGACGGCTGCAGTTTGATTCGAGGTCAAAATACTGGGCTGGAAATATTGGCCCCGTTTGTCTCGCCGGAGCATTCAGAGTGAAATTTCCGCCAAAAAATCCCACCTGCCCAGTGAAATCCCAGAAAAGGGGGTCTGTGAAAGGGCCCAGCAGGAAGCTTAGTTCCCATATCTGTGGGTGGAAAACCTTTCTCAATATGTGGCTTTAAGGACCAGTACAGCTTGGTGTGAGTGATGTGCTATGACAGAGGTCCCACTTGGGAAGTAGTGAGCCCACACTGTAGAAACACTCAAAAAACAGATTTTTCTATTCTCTCGCCCTTTGCCATTGACTTCCCCCTCCTCCCCCTTTCCCCTAGACACACCAAAAATCCTTGTTCAGAGACATAAACTTGGATGTTTCCTGTGGGAAAGCTTTTGTGGATGCACTTCCCTTCTCGGCTGAAACTCCTGTGGAGCACAGAAGGAAACGTACCGTTGAAGTTTGTGAGCTAATTAAATGTCACAGCCTGCTCACTGAAAATGCGTCTACAATGAGTTTTGAGGAGTGATCTTTCTCTCACTCTCACACTTCCTCTTTTTCTGATGTGGTACTAGTGTGTGTGTGTGTGTGTGTGTGTGTGTGTGTGATGTGGGGTGCACACACAGTATAGCTTTGGATAAGTACCCTAACCCGTTGAGAGCCCTATTCCGGCTGAGCCAAGCAGGTGGTGTGCAGGAAATGTTGGAATTGCGATGTGTCTGTGAATGAGCCCATTAAAAGGGAAATTCATCAGCAGTCTTCACAGGTAGTGATCCTGTAGACTGCAGATGAACTACAAACAAAGTTCTAATAATCGTTATGTAATAATGTCCATGTATGAGAATGTACACATATACATTCAATGTACTTTAGAAATACACTTGGCTTTACAAAAGACAAAGAAAGGGTATGGCGTACCCAGGTGATGGGTCGCAGGATGGGCGGGAGGCTCAGTGGGCAGGACCACCAGCTGGGCAGAGGGGTCCTGAGGCAGAGGCAGGACTGGCTGCAGAGGGCCTTGCATGGCTGCTGAGAAACCTGGGGGCAGATTCTGGTGCAGGGCTGTATGACCTATACCTGCTTTATAGAAAGGGTGTCAGTTTAGATCTTTATACCCACCACATGCTATGTGAAACACTGCTGAAAATAAACTACAACTACCAACCATTCATTCACTAAATTGATTCTAAACCTGACTGGGAACCAATAAAAAGATGCTTAAATTGAAATTGTTCTGGATGCTGAATACTGCACAAATTTGAGATGACGCAGAGTTCTGTAGCTAAGTCAATGGAGCATAGAAACACCTTTGTTTTTTTCTATTCCATAAATGGCAAAAGCAGGATTTTCCTGCCTTCGTTTCATGATCTGTAACACTGTAAAAAGTCACACAGTTATAATTACAATCTTAATTTCCAAAACAATTTATATGTTCTTACCATAAGAATGTCCTGTCATCCAAAGGGATGGGCTTCCAGTTCTTGGCATCCAATGATGGTGAGCAGGATGTGCAGCAGGATCTCCTAATTGGCCAGACTGGAGGGAAGTTCCGCCTGGGACCATGAGATGAGAGGTCAGGTCTCCGTGACAGCTGTTGGAGGGGTGGATTCTTGCAAACTCCACCCTTTCCTTATTATCCCTGACATCAGGATGAGACAAAAATGAGGAAATGCAAATGAAGACCACTGAAGGTTTGTAACAATAACATTTTAGAAATACGTAATGAGCAGTGGCTTTACAGTTGCTTACCTGATATATGCATCTCTCTCTCTGTCCAAGCAAGTCAGACCTATCTGTTCCCCACTCATCCTCTTTCTCTCCTCTTCAGCAGTAGGATCTGAAGGATACATGGAGCGAGGCGGTCCTGCGAGACAAACATCTTAACCATTAGATCTCGCCTGGTGAGGACATGTTCACAAGTCCCTCACAATTTCTCAAAACCATACTATAACTCACAAGAGCACAGGCAGTTCTTATTTTGCCCCACTAACAAATTTTGGATCATACTTTTTAATGCCATTTCAACCACACTGAATTTCATACAAGACTCTTAATGCTTTAATGCATTCTCCAAAAATGAAGTTTTTTTCTCATCACTGGAAAATTGTGCCACCAATATTATTTGTCAAGTTTTTCAGCTCTAGAATATATTTGTTTCTGTTTTGTTTTCACTGCTAGGTCATCACAGGTCACAGATAGGAAAAAAAGGGTCTCTGTTCCCTGCACCCCTGTTTATGAGGCAGTGACCTATCTGCTTACCTTTCACTGAGGGATGTACCCTGCCTTGTCGGCTGTTTGGATGACTGTCTGCTGAGCGACAAGGTGGCTCCCTTTGTCTGGCCACAGCAACTGCAATTCCAACTGGCGGCTGCCGCACCTCACTTTCCCCATGACCTGCATCCCCCATTTCCCTGCCCCGCCCACTGTAATCAGGGCGCTCGTTGTCATTGGCTGGGCCCTTTCTGGAAGGTAGAGTTTGTTTGTTGCCCTGCAGGGCACAGCTCCCCCCAGCAGGACCTGATTTGAGGGATCCCAGCCCTCCAAAGGGGCTCTTCTGGGAGAGGAGCAGTGGCTGTTGCTGGTTGCTGTACTTAAGTAAGCTTTTCATGGCACTGCTCTCCCCCTGAGTTGGGCCCTGGGGCTCTGGCTGCTGCTGCTGTGGCTGCTGCTGTTGCTGACTGAGGGGAGGTACTGAGGGAGGCTGGGGAGGTGGCAGGCTCATTCCTGACTGCTGCTGTTGTTGTTGTTGCTGCTGCTGCTGCTGCTGCTGCTGCTGCTGCTGCTGCTGCTGCTGCTGCGAGTGTTGCCCACCAGTACTTCCTAAATCCATGTAAGACTTCCTCTGCTCCTCCTCGGGTTGTGACATGTGGTGGGAAGGCCTCATGGCCCAGGGTGGCACCGGGGGCTGCTGGTGGTGGTGCTGCCCACTGCTGTTGCCGTAACCATAAGGAGACATCTCCATTTTTCTTTTTAGTTCCTGACTAGTCCCTTGGTTCAACTCAGCAGGAGAAGGAGCATCTGGGCCAGGTCGGCCATGTTGCTGGTGGCGTATCCTGGCTACCTTTTGGCCATCTCTCTGCAAGGAGCAGCTACCGGCAGGACCAGGGCCATGGGCTACTCCAGCCCCACTATGTTGAACCATGCTTTTACTTCCAAGTGGGGAGACGTTAGGTTGGGGTCCTGGATGGGAACAGTCTCTGTAAGGAGAAGTGTTGACAGAATGAGGGACAGAGTTTCCAGCCTTTGGCCCCTGGGGCATCGAGGGTCTGAACACATCCATGTCCACGCCACTGTTGATACACTCAGCACTGCGTGATCGTACAACTTGGTGCTGCTGTTGGGGATGTGGAGGCTGTTGTAGCTGGGGAGGTGGAGGCTGCTGTAGCTGGGGAGGTGGAGGAAGCTGTGAGGGCTGAAGGTGTTGGTGGTGGGACTGCATCCAATCTGGAGCCTTATCTGTCTTTCTGTATGGGTGCTGCTGTTGCTGCTGTTGCTGTTGTTGTTGTTGTTGCTGCTGCTGCTGCTGCTGCTGCTGTTGCTGTTGTTTTCTTTGCCAACTACTATGGTGCCCACCGCCTCCATTCTTTTCCATTACCTTATCCTTGTTATTGCCGCCTCCCCCTCCACCGCCCACACCATGGCATTCTGGGTTACCAAGCTGGAATGGACCACTAGATTTGTCCCCCAGGCCTGCCACAGATGGCACAAATGTAGGCCCTGTGATTTTAGGTTCTCGCCCCACATTGGCGGGCCCCCTCTCATGTGAGGCAGGGTTGACTAGAGGAGCAGGATGGGGCGGGCAGAAGAAGTCTGGATGGTGGTGTGGATGGTGTGAATGATGTGGATGGTGTGGGTGGCTAGGGTGGAGTTGAAGGCAGTGGAAGCCCCCTGGGTGAGGATGTGAATGGGGGTGAGTATGAGGGTGTGGATGGGGGTGTGCGCCTCCAGCAGCAGAACCCATGTGTAAGGGTGGGGGTACAGAGTAGGATAGAGAGTGGTGGAGTGGTGCCTGACTCCTTTCCAGACAGTCTGAAGGTTGTTCACTGATCCTCATCTCCCCACTGATCCCCTCTTTGGTACAGCGACTACTAACGCTGGACACCATATGCCTGCCCTGGCTGCTCCCTCCACCCACCATAGCCCCAAGGGCTGTGCCCTCCCCCCCACAGCTGGACATGGAGGTCTTAGCCCCTGCTCCAGTTCCTGCATCTCCATTTTGCATCTTGCCATTGTGCAAGCAGGCACTGAGGGGCTTGCCCATACTCTGAGGGTGTTCCTTGCTGTACTCCATGGTAAGGGATGCCTTGTGCCTCTCCAGGGCTCGACTGTTGACCTCCTCCAGGGGTAGTGGGTGCTGTGGATAGTGTGGGTGCTGCTGATGGGAGTGGGAATGGTGGTGGTGTGTGGGCTGGGGTGGCTGATGGTTGTGGAGCTGCTGTTGCTGCTGCTGTTGTTGCTGCTGCTGTTGCTGCTGCTGTTGCTGCTGTCTCTCTTTTGCCTCTTGTTTGCTACTGGACCTCTCCTTGTCCTTTACAGGTACCACTCCTCTCTCCACTGACCCCTCTTTTAGGCCCTTATGTAGACCAGTGCCTGTCCCTGGATCTCTGTCTCTGCTGCAGGACCCCTGAGAGTGTCCCGAACCTGCCCTGGACATTGGTGGCAGACTGTGATTGGCTGAGATGAGAGGTGGCTGGGATGGGAGACCTCGAAGATAGAAGTTCTCTGAGAGGAAGGAAGGCAGGCCAGTAAAGACAAAAGCATTAGTCAAGAAAGGAAAAGGTGATGACAGAATTAGATTATTCAGCTCTCATGTTAGTGTCCCTTGGCATCCTTGTATCAATAATTCACAACAAAATACACCATACTATGTTGTATACATTGGATTCAAATGGATTATTTCTGTCTGTTTGAATTGTAATTATCTCATGCCTCACCTTTTTGCGTGTCATAGAAACGGTGCTGCCCATAGAGAACTCCACTGTTGGCATGGTGATCCAAGTGGCTCATGGGAAGGAAAGTGTGGGCCAAACTCCCTGAGAATCGAGGATACCCTGGAGCTGCTGAGATGGATAGCAGAGAGAGGGAGAGAATTGATAAGACAGGACAATAACCTCCAAGATGCAGTTATCCAGGCTAACCCAGCATAATCCTTCGGGTCCAATGCAGCTGGTGGTGTTCATACGCAAATAAGTACTGGCTCGGCCTGTCATGTTTGCCTTTCCTGCCTGAGTTTACAATGCAAACAATACATGACAAGCTTGGGGATTGCTGTAATGTATGAAATGTGTCTCTGAAACATATGGCTCTTTCTTTATCTCTCTCTCAGAGCTGGCAGTGACACCGCTGTCCAACTGAATGAAGTGATAAGGATGGATTTGAAGCTTGTGTTTACAATGAAGAGAAAGCTGGGAGGCTGAACTTTACTGACCTACATCATGGGTAAGCGGTCATTTGGATTTTGGAACTGTAAACCAGGACACCTGGGCTCACGGCATCAAGCCCATATGGAGGACATTTACACCACAACAAAACACAAAACTCATTTTGCAATGGGACATTCAAAAACACAAAGGACTTTGAAGGTGGAGGAGAGAAAACATGGATTGAGATGAAAGCCCATCACAATATTAGGACAAAGAACTACTTACGACAACCCACTTACATGGCAATTGGGTAACTAAGACATCTAAACAAATCAATGTGAATTGAATTTCCCTATATCTCTACAACTGTATAATTAGTTATGCCAGACGATTGCAAGAGAGACATTTAATAATATCAAAGTACTGTGAACTTTAAATAAAAGCCAAATTCTTTGCTGACAATAGTGCTATACTGAGCATATTATGTAATGTGATACAGCCATGATTAAACCTGTGTCTTCTCCATCTACTCCATGCAGGCTGCAGAGATATTAATAAGGAGAGAAGAAAAGTAACCTATATGCATTATCACCATGAGTGAACTAATATCAGGGCAGGAAGGAAAGAGAAGAAGGAAAAAACAGACATCAAGAGCGAGACCGGAGACATGTTGTGTTTGTGCTTCTTTTCAGACAGCACTTCTAATGTCCACCAGCACCACAGTCAACCATCTCAGCGGTCTCTGAGTCATCTAGCGAAGTTCAAGTGTTCCACGTCTCCTTTTCACTGCTTTTGCACCTGCCTCACCCTCCAGCCTCACTGTCAAACACAACTCGCAGACGAGAGGAAAAGAGGGGGATGAAGAGAGGAAAACATGGCTCCAACTAAATGAAAGACAGACATATTTGTGTTGGCAAGCGTTGCGACCTGATCCCGGAAAAGCGCAGATGCAGTTCATTTGGCCATGTGTGTGCAGCGCCGTGGTTTAAACAGGAGCTCCGAGTGTTGAATGTCTCACTTTCTGCCGGTGGAACAATAACGCCGATGCTGGGAGCCAGCTCTGGGGAGGGAGGAGTGTTGTGGTGGGCTTAATGACCTCGCCTCAGAGCGGCCTCCGCATGCTCCCATCTTAATTAATGAAATGTAGAGAGGGCAAACAGTCCTGCAACAACACAGGAGGTGCTGCTTTCTGGGGAGGGCAATGGGGTGATAATTACATGCCCTCACTTTTTCTCCATTTTACCTATTTTTCTATCTCCCTCCCTTTGTCTGGCTCTTTGCTGTCATGCTTAATAAGCACACACATTTATGCCAATTCATCTACAGTGGGAGGAGGGCGGATCCTTTGTTTAAGCAAGACATTTTTTCCCTGATTTTGGGAGGGAGAAAAGCAGAGAGCTGTTTGGCAGTCTTTATCCAAGCTGGGAGAGGGGCTTTTTTTCTGCGGCAGCATGTTGTTTGTGTGCGCGACGATTGACGGCGTAATCCCTTTTCACAGCGTGGTCTGGCTGTGCCCGATAATGCCAGCCCGCTCAGTTTCAGCATGCCCTCCAGTGGGGCGGCAAGAGGGGGCCTGCTGGGCACGGCAGAGCCCATTCAGCCATTAATCTGGCCAGGACAAGGGAAGCTGCTGCTGCTGCTGCTGCTGCTGCTGCTGCAGGCGACGTGAGCAGGGTCTTAGTGCAGTCTGCTGACTGCACAGCAGCCTCACTCTCTTTCTCTCCACATACTCACATAAACAAGTCAGCATCAGCAAGTGAATGACAGAGGGGAGTTCAGAGCGCATGCCCTCCTTTCCAAGGGCGGAGCAGGGGCGAGAGGCAGAACAAACAGAGCTGCGTCCCAGGGAGGGATTTCCAGAAGTTCTGAAGATATTTCTCACAGCATGGTGGGTTGAGAGAAGCGGGCCGACAGGGAGGACAAAGAAGGGGGCTGGATATAGAACAGCACCTAAAGGCAGTAAGGAATTAAAGCTGCTGAATTAGAGGCAGACGACAGCGTGTTTCTTTCCCCTCTCTTTTCCTACCCACTCAGCTTATACCTGCTCTGAAAACACAAACCATTACCATTGCTCACGAGGGCTTCTCCACTTTTGCTAAAAGGCTAAATAACATGAATGCCGAATTGTATACTGGCTCCTGGGAAATGGCTGTAACATTTCAAAGATGGAAGGAGAGAGAGAGAGAGAGAGAGAGAGAGAGAGAGAGAGAGAGAGAGAGAGAGAGCATGGCAGAAGAAGACCTAGAGGAAAGGAGGAGCAGGCTGAGCTGCCTGTCAGGTCCGCTAATTGAGAAACAGTGACAGAACCATCAAGACACAGAAAGGGAGGAGGAGGAGCAGTACTGTGGTGGATCTCTTCAGGTTTGACTAATTGAAAGGAAGGGATGCAGGCTGGCATATGAGAGAGAGAGAGAGAGAGAGAGAGAGAGAGAGCGAGAGCGAGAGGCAGGAGTATGGAAGAGAGGGGAGGGTGGGGGGTGCGGCTTAAATCCCATAAAAGGAAAAGCTATAGCAACTGCTCACAGAAGGAAAGATGGACAACTGAAGATAGGCTTGGAAAGGCGTATCAAACAGAAGTAGATTAGACAGGTGTGTGCAGGCAATTGTGTGTGCGTGCATGTATGTGTGTGACTATATGTGTTGACAGAGATATGAGACTGCGATTGTTTTTGGCATAACGTAAGAAGTCATTTGGACCTCAGCCAGTTGGCCCCGGGCCTGTGAGGAGCTCGCAGGTTTTTTTAGTCAATTTTTCTTTTTCTTCTTTTTTTCCCCACTCGGTTGATTCAGAGGGGGGGGGGGGGTTATTCAGGGTTTAAATGACGGTCCCACACATGAAAATAAATCTTTCAAAAGCTCACAGGGCCTAATCCATTTTACCAGGTGTTATGAAAAACATTTTACATTGCATTTATTAAAACGTCACTATACTGTTTTAAATTATTTTTTCTGTCTTCTACCCACAGCCATATACTGCCACCCGTCTATGTCTGTCTCTGTGTCAGTGAGTCCACATCTCCGTTCAGCAAATCCCATGTGTGGTGCACACAATGGGTGTTGGTAATAAATCTGAAGAGACTATCTGAAACAAAAAACTCTTTTAATTCATGCTACTCTCTGACATCATGAAAGCCACTAATGGTTTGGGTCTTGTCACCTGAATATAAATATGCCAGCATTTGTAAGACAGTATACTGTACACTTTTGTTATCCCAACACAATGAATCTTTAAACAAAAATCAACACAAGACTTCTGTGTACCACATTCACTGACTCCCTCTGCCCAAGTTGTCTTGATCCAAGGGACCATACAACAGTGGTATGTGGTGATGTTATTTATAGCTTTGCTTAAAGTGTCACTCAGCTAATGGTTTGTCACACATGCTCCCAACAGAAATGTGGTCTGTGTGCATGACATAACTGGCCCTCTCTAAACATACTCAGACCATGTCGACACTAATGTTCGCGCTGATGCAGATTAAGTTAAAAACACATCTTTTTCTCCCTGGTTTTGCCTTCCAACCCCAGAAACTGAGCTTTCAAAGCTATTTCCAAATAGAAACATTGACTGTGTTTGATTGTTGACTGTGTTTGATTGTCAGGTTTTTTTTCCACAGAGGTGGTTAATTATCATCTTTCTCCATATGTCTTGATTATTATTATTGTCGTAGTTATTATCATCATCATCATTATTATCGTTGTTGTTATTACTATTATCTCCACCAAGGAGCTTATGTTAGTCAGCAGAATATCCTCAAAAACATGTGTCAACACATTTCTAATATTCTTGTGCACATACTAGAATAAAAACGTTTTGTTGAATTGTGTTGCAGATCTAGATCTTAGTGAACATTTCTACTCCTTGTCTATTATTAAAGTAATACATCCAAGTGGTTTCTAATCATCACACTTTATTTGACTTCTTTTTTATCTCTGCCATAATAACATTTCAAAAGTCTGTGATGATTGTTGTACAAAAAAGAATAAATTGTTCTTAAGAGACTTACATAATATAAAAATAAAATATATAATTCAACCTGCTCTCTTAGTAGACTTGGAAAGTATTTATCCAGACTAAGTAACTGGTTAGCGATTGACTAATGAGATCATTGTCATCTATTGCTCGACACATGGTCGATTTTAGCTCTTTAATCTGTGGCAAATGTGTCAGAAGAATAGCAGAAACAAAGACATTCTGCACCATGACAGGTATATGCCAGAGACAAGAGGATCATACAGTAATCTTTGAATACAAATTCGAGCTGCTATGCTTGGATTTGCATGCAAACAGACACTTTAATAACACAGCTCGCAGGGGAAAAAAAAAAAAGAAGAAAATCCAGAGAATATCTTTAAGGTTACAAGTGACACACTAATGCACCGACACACAAACACAAGTCGATGCCTGCTCTGCTGCTGGTGGGGTTCTGCTGACACCCGGAGAGAGGAGGCGAGAGTCTGGGTAATTGTGCCGCTCATTTTGATGACTTGCTTTTTATGCAAAACAGGAAAAAGACAATATGCAATTATCTTGAGGAGGGAACAGCTGAATGTGGTTGATGAACAGTCTGGATTCAATCATGCTCTTAGTGTGTTATATGCAATTAAACTGCAATAGAGATAATGGCCTCCATTGCCAACTGAGTAATAATCCCAGTCATAATCACCTCCATTACTTTTATTAGGCTTGGCATTATCATCATCACTCTTATTAATATTATTCTACTTTTCCACAAGAAGAAAATCTTTGACAATGAAACCCTGAAACTATAAAGGTGAAGGGAACACTGATGCTTACAAAATGAGTTTTGAGGGGAAATGTCTGTGACTGAGCTGATGCTGGAGCTCATACCTCATTCAAATGTATTTGTCCTGTCTCCGTGTTTATTTGAAGAGGGGGGGGGGGGCATGCAATGGCTTAACAGACTCGCATCACGCAACTGGGGCGCCGCTGATCAGTGACCACAAATAACAAACACTCCCCACTGGCGTTCCCCCATGAACCAACAGCTGGGCTATTCTTAGCAAATAAACAAATACAAGACAGCTAAAATACAACTTCAAAGACTGCAGTTCACTAGACGGCATTGGGCGGCCATCGCATCGTGTAATTAGCAGAAGATTATGAACGCGTAAATCTAAAAGTGACAGAAGTGAAGTCGCAGGAAAGCAGGCCTTGCATTAATATACGAGTGTGTGGCATTGGATAGGTCTTACATTCATCTGTCATCCAGCATTTGAAGTCCTGAAATAGCCCCAGCAGATTAATCTCTCTACTGTATCCTTACCTGACTTCCTGGCGCATCTAAGGAGAAATGTGCGGTGTTGAACTGAGTGTGTGTTTATATTTTCCTGACTGCATGTGTGTGTGTGTGTGTGTGTGTGTGTGTGTGTGTGTG